CGCTCGGGCTTCGTCAAACATGGATCTAGTGAATGAAGGTGACCCCGGAATATCTATGACACCGGGCAGACTAGAGCCGGCATCTCGAGAGGTCTCAGCCCTCATCTCTACATCGGCTTCCCGAACCTGAAGGGGACCAGCCTCCATTATTTCCCCCTCGGTTGTCGCCCGCTATTCGAGGGAGGTCAGCTCACATGACATAAAAATATCACCTTCCTCGGGTTCGTCCCTGAGCCGAAAAAGTGAGTTCGAGTAGGGTGCTCGGGAGCTAGAACTCTCATTTGGCTTACATGTCAACCTTCTCCTTGGCTTCTTCTTCTCTGAGCTTGGGGAACTCGGAGCGTTCTTTTTTTCTTCTCTCCTGCTACGACCCCAAGCTGCCCCGAAGCGGAGGGATCAACGGACAAGTGGTCGTCCCTTACTAAAGACCTAAGCTCAATGGTCTTAGGCAAGCCTGCGAAAATATAAGAGAGGGAATAAGAATACGGTGCTGAAAAATGAGCCTAATATTACTTATTCGGGAAAGAAATCTTACCGTGAGAACAAGCCTCCCAACGGCCCTTCGAGAGTTCGCGCCATATGCGCTCAGAATAAGGCATCTACGAATAAATTCCCTCGATCCACTCCTTGAGCCGAGAAATGGCATTTGGGACTCGAGCAACAGCTACACCACCGCAAATACTGGAGAGGAAAAAGAAGATGAACGTAAAATCGACATTTAAAGGAAAGTTATGCTTACGTGATACATTCCACTTCTCGGGGAATGGCCTAAACTCAGTAGGGATCAAGTCTACTGTCCTCACCGGACAAAGCGTCCCTGCCAGCCCCGATCCCGGTCCTCATCGATGCTTGAGAATGGGGCTTTGCTAGACCATCGTATGAGCTTTATCATTCCCCTTGGAAGATTCGAGGACTGTACAGACGGAGTAGATGATCGATGGTGAACCGACAAGAGTCGATTGTGTTCACAAAGTATCAAAGAAGGATTACGATCCTCCACAACGATGGGTGAATCTGACCGAGGCATACTTCATACCTCGTACAGTAGTCAAGAATAACTGAATCCACCAGACCCAGTGTGAAGGGATAAGTGTAAACACTCAGATACCCCTCCACATGAGTAGTAATGGCGTCCTCGGGCCCGGGGATTATTACATCCTTATCCGCCCAGCCACAGTCCTTTCGAACCGCATGAAGGACGTCTTCGGTGATGGAGCATATGTACCTAGATACCGCCTCACACCGGCCATGCATCGACGAGGGCTTTTCGACCTTAAAATCATCCTCGACCGAGTACCCCCAGGGGATGAACATTTTTAAGGGAGGCGCGGTAGCCGGTTCATCGGTAGCCACGCCTGGAGTGGTTCTCTCGAGGACGACCACATCGAGAGTGGTCTCCTCAACTTCGGCGATCAGCTGTGAAGAAGAGGAAGCAACTATTTGGGGAACATTTTTGGAAGTTTTAGCCATTGATATCTGGAAAAAGTTTGAAAAATATGAATAAAAATTGGGAGATGATAGGTAAAAGCTTTACTGAGAAAGTCAAATGCGCTGGTTTGGATAGAAAATAAGTAGAAGCTTGCAATTTACTGAGGAATCTCGAAGAATTGAGGTAAAAATGTTAGAGTATGAAGAAGGGCAGTGATATCTTGAAGACTCGAAGGTAGAAGCTTGATCAAAAGGTAAAAAGTGAACGAATGAGGGGAGTATTTATTAGAGACTTTGCATCGTTTTACATCCAGGGATGACCTGCCGATGGCTGACACGCGTTTAATTTTGGATTCTTTGTCGTTTCTGTCACAGAGTATTGAAGAAGGAATTGAAGTGCACATATCGTTTCTCGTTGTTACCGTAAACTTACTCTCCGAGAAACGAGGGGACTATCTGTGTACGGGTGAACCCGAGCCTATGGGATCGGTTTCGATGAAATAAATGGAGGAAGAGACGTGACTATAAGGGACCGGAATCGAGGCAAGGATCCCCTCGAGCCGGGGTCCGGGCAAAACGTCTGCCCTCTGGAGTATCCGGGCCACGACCCCGAGAATCAGTTCGAATCCCAAATATCTCGGAGAGCATTACCAGATAATCAAGCATGACAAACAAAAGGCTGTGATATCTGGGACCAGCCGGATGTCACAGCGTGAACCTCGGCACGTATCGGCAGAAAATCGGTGATTAGTTAAAGCCGGGGTCCGGGCAAAACATCTGCCCTCGGGAGTATCGGGGCCACGACCCCGAGAATCGGTTCGAATCCCAAATATCTCGGAGAGCATTACCAGATAATCAAGCATGACCAACAAAAGGCTGTGATATCTGTGACCAGCCGGATGTCACGGCGTGAACCTCGACACGTATCGGCAGAAAACCGGTGATTAGTTAAACGGAAGATTTTTACTTTTGTGGAATTGCACTTAGGGTAAAACTCATCTATTATATAAATGGGGGTCTAATTATTTATTAGGTATACTGTAACATGCATATCAAGGCAATATATTCTTATTTTATGTGTTATTCAAAGTTCTTACTTTTGTTCATCAATTCTTCAATAACGTGAGCCTGGAAACGAAGGCAGACATTTCATTAAGGTGTTACTAAGTCTGGGATCACTACTCTTGATTGGTTTGACAATTTATTACGTCCTTTATCTGTTTAATCTAACGCAATTTAGTATTTGTATTGAATTAACCCACGTATCCTTAAAACCACTTATAAATTTAATTGTTATCCGTTTTTTAGGGTTAACAATTACGCAACAAAAGATGGTAATACATTAATACTCATAACAGATCATCATTCTTTTTCCCTTTGCTTAAAAAGAAAATGACTGTGTTAAATTTATTGGCTCTTTGTTTTAGAGTAGAGTATATAACAATTGAAAGGACTTCACTCGTTGTGAAAAATAAAAAAGTAAAAAAGAAAATAAAAACAATAAAAGAGTAGATAATGAAATAGGAAAAATTGCATCGGTATCATCCAAGATTTGGTCGGTTAACCAAAACAAATTATACAAAACAGTCGTTAGCTAAATAATAAAGTTATACACCGATTATATAAATATATATAGGGGAGCCTTGGCATAACTGGTAAAATCGTTCCCATGTGATCAGGAGATTACGGGTTCAAGATAAATCTTTGTGGTCGGACACTTTTCCGGATCCCGCACATAGCGGGAGCTTAGTGCATCAGCCTAGGCTGCCCTTTTATTATATATATATATATATATATATATATGCCAGGTATTATTTGGGGAAAATTATACTACGTAATTTTCTCTAAATAAAGCTTTTAATACATTTAAGACATTTTGGGCTGCTTGGATAATCATGAAAAAGGCCCAGGGTGAAAGACATAGTTACCCACAAAAACAAAACTATTTATCTTTATCTGCCCATTTATTTTTTTACCCATCAAACTAATTACATTTCCTACCCATAGTAGTTTTTGTGAGAAATTTTCTCCTTTTTCTCCAATTCTTTTTTATTTTTATGCCTCTTTTCTTTTTTCCTTTTTTTCCAATTCTTTTTTATTTTTATGCCTCTTTTCTTTTTTCCTTTTTTTCCAATTCTTTTTTATTTTTATGCCTCTTTTCTTTTTTCCTTTTTTTCTTTCTTTCTCCTTTTCTTTTTTCTCGTTTTCTTCTTATTATTTTCTTTTTTATCTTTTATTCATTTATTTTTGTCCAAATCGTATTATTGTTATTTTTATCATAACTTATTTCACACTCAAATTTTACTCCTTTTTATTTTTTTTCTTTATTTCTTGTTCCTTTTCTAATTCCACGTGATTGCCATGCAAACCTTGACCTCCTTCCCTACAAATATCAGTACACACTCTACCATTAGCAGTAACACAACTAGTCATGGAGCAAGAAAACATAATCTACGGCCATTAAATTTTCATATATAGTAGTTAGAATAGAAATGATAATAAAATATTAAAAAATGCAATAAAAATATAAGTAAAAAAAAAAGACTTCTAGTACCATATGATACCAATATGGTATACATGTATACCAAAAGAATATATGATTGCTCTAGAATATTGCTACGACTATCTACGACTATACTACTGTACCAAAATATTAAAGGATACAATAAAAGTATGAGAAAATTGCATGCTCGCATTGCAAGCTAAATATTCACAAAATAACTTGCTCATTCCTTATACTAACATGGTATATAGTTGTATGGGATCGTTCCAATAATTGCCTATAACTATAAAAACTTTTACATAATACATATAATCTATGTCTATCGGCACAAAAAAATTCCAACACTGCAAATCATGTTCATATAAATAACTTCATAATAGAATTCACTTAAAAATACAGCTAAAACAACCAAAAAATACTCAAACTACCATATGATACCAATATGGCATATAACTATACCAATATGGTATACAGTTTTACTGATTAATTTTCGGTAATTATATGACTATACTACTATTATATAACATACATGCATAAAGAGAAAAATAAAAAAATAGTGTACCACATATTAATATAATAAAATATTTCAAGATATTGTATTATATTACTATTATTAAAAGGAAATCAAATAGTGTACCAATTAAATACAGCTAATACAACCAAAAAATAATTCAACTAGCATATGATACCAATATTGTATATAGCTATACTAATAGGGTATATAGTTGTACGTGGTCATTCCAACAACTGCATATAAATATAAAAATTATTACATAATATACAAAATCTATGTCCATAGGTACAAGAAAATCCAACACAGCAAAACATGATCATATAAATCATTTAAGAATAGAATTCACTTAAAAATACAGCTAAAACAACCAAAAAATATTTCAACTACCATATGATACCAATATGACACATAATTATACCAATAGGGTATACAGTTCTACTAATTAATTCCAGGCAACTATATATGACTATACTACTATTACATAATACACATGCATAAAGAGAAAAATCAAAAAATAGTGTACTCATATCTATATTATATTAAAAGTGGGAAAGCTCATAACTAAAAAGTTGAATTACCAAATTACCCTCTTATTAATCTAAATTCTTTACTTATTTAAATAAATAAATAAATAATTTAAATATATTTGAAGGGGTGTAACCCTTCATATTTTATATATTACTAATGTGAGTAACTATTCCTATTTCCTATAGTATTCAACCATTGCTACTGTTGGCTTAGGCATGCATATTGTGTAGCACAAGACTCGGCCTTGTCCTACCCACCTCCCTCGACTCTGCTTCTCTTCCCATGTGACACCGCTCAAGTCCTGCATCTTATTTAACTAGATAGGATTGGCCCGTGCTTGCACGGGCCCAACAGTTTGGATTAGAGCGTGTTTCATTTCGATAAATATTGTTTGCCAATGTAAAGAGTACAATATTTACATAGAAAGATACCTGCAAAGTAGGATAGCTGAGAAGTTGAATTAACTATGCGATACAAAGGCTTGCACAGAATGAGAAGGAAAAATCAGCCAAGGTTGCTTTAATCTGTCTACTGATGCAAGACAATGTTCAATAATCTATATTGCTCAGATCCCTCTCTGTAGTCATGCTCGTTGTCTGGTATGCAAAAGTGAAACATGACGTAATCTGTAATGAATGACAGAGAATAGTTAATTACCAAAACTTAGCTTTATTATCTGTGGGAGCGTAAAATATGGTTTGAGCAAGCACTCCACATGATTCTCCACCAGAATCTGTACCGGCATAAAAAGGTTCTCAATGTCTGCACTTAGTGCAACAAATTAAGCTTATAGAAGAAAGATAAATATTTGAGGCACGATAATGCTTTGACATATATTCTTCATGTTGAATGGCTAGGATCAGTGATGTAGTAACAGAATTTAGTAGCACCTTATGTCCAAATATAGTGCAACTAGAGTTTTTATTTCATTATCTGCAAGCTTCTTCATCTTGTGCACAAGTTAAACTAAGTTGGTGCATGAAGCTGGGTTTTCGAGAGAGAAGTACAAGGTTGTACTGTGAAGGAATTACATACTCTAATTTCATTAAATCCTAAATTGAGTGTTGTCAAACTTTCATTGATTACCTCTAAACTCCTAGTAAGGCTGACTACAATTTCGTATTAGGAAAGAGTTGTGTACTTTGAGGCAAATTGAAGATTATCATACAATGAAAGAACTATAAATATGAATTGAAACCTCATTTCTAGGTCCATTGGCTCAAATCTGTGACAAAATTGAAGAAAAAGATATCATTTCTAGGCCCAAGCGCTTACATGAAGAAATAAGCAGTTACCTTTAAGGCCTAAAACAGTAGTAAGCATTACAATGCTGTGACTATCATATCCTAAGTCAGTATAGAATTACAGTCTAAAAGTTTTAGTGAAGAGTATGGTCAAAGCGAAGGAAGGCAATTTGTGGGGATTAACAATACAAATTTAATGATCAACCGGAATGGAAGAGCAAAAGCAATTAGTTAAAAGCAATTAATTCAAAGAAACAGAGAAAAATTAAGTATCCTATTTGTGGGAAGGTCATGCGCGATAAATACAAAATGAGGAAGGAAACAGGCAAACTTAAATAAGCTAGGTGTAAATACAAACATGAGGAAGTAAACCGGAAAACTTAAATAAGTTAGACTCTATTATAGACTTATAGTACATGATTTGTAATGGATCGTTAATAAGTGGGGAGGTACTTACGCAACATATTGTATATACAATGGTACCAACAGAATTAAGTTCTGGTCTGATATTTGGTGGAGAAAGTTGTCCAATATTAATAGTCTACCAGCAACTATTTTCAGTAGTAATTCACAAAATGGCCTCGCTCTCACATGTTTATTCAGAAGATGACTTCACGATGGAAGGTTAGTAGATATCTGAAACTGTTAAGCTAAATAAATTCTCTTTTAAACAGCTAATCCTGGAAACTATTAACAATACAGTAGTAACATTTTCAATCATTTTATACTTCACTCACCCCTAAAACAAAGGTTCCTAGCCTCTCTTCTCTAAATCAACCCATCTGATTGGTTCATGTATTAGCCAACGATTACCACTGTCAACTAAAAATATGTCCTACCAAGAATTGAAGATACTACTCCAGCATAATAGATATCCACAAAATAAAAGTACTATATCTATAACAAAGTCAATGAAATGAAATCATGGTAAAACTAAAAATAATGAAGTAAATTAAAGTTCATACCATTTGTGAAACGTATAATAAGGGGTCAGATCTTCTCGAACAGCCTTGTATGTAGATTCTATACTCCGAACTCCCAAGTGTTTGTATTTTAAAAGAGTTCAATAAAGTGCGCTTATATGAAATAATTTATCATTTACCTGACACCAACCAAGCATGAAATCTTTTACGTTTCAGTCAAATTTGGGGACCTCAGGTCCTGCCTTTGCTATCTAAGGTTCAATGGGATTGTAATTGATTCTAAATGTGCGTCTGATAAACTTTAGCATAAGGTAGTTATATTTTCGAGAAATCATTAAAATAAAATATTTTAGATGAAACTCACCTACGTGGTGACAAAGTTATATTTCAAAACATATGGTATTAGGATGTATGCCATTGTCTCTATCCAAAAATTTCACAGAAATTTAGTCGTCAGAGGATATGCAAATACCTCTATGAAAGTAATACCTCTAAGTTATTCTGCAATATAGTTTTCAAGAAAGCAAACACTAAATAGCCATTCAATAAATCAGTGAGCAAAAAATTGAAAGAAAAGCATACCGGATAAGAAGATGAAGAGATTAGAAAAAAGAGCACTGACTCTAGAGTTTTGTTTTTGATAGCATATAACGATTATTAAAAAAGCGGTAGTGCATCTTCCAAGGTTTCTATCTTCCAAGATTGAAACCTCTGCTAATGCATTGTAGCCTTTTTAACAATGGTTATACCATCACCGTAGTTTGATATAGCTTACGTGTCGTTCATTTCAGGTCCAATCTCACTTCCTTAAGCTATCATGGCTTAATGGTGCATAATACGAAAAAAATTCTGCTAAAAAAAGTATAAAATTAGTCAACAAATGTAGTGTGAAACGTGAACATTTAGATAAAGAAATTGATATCGAAAGTAAATATATTAATAAAACTCCATGGACAGCATCAACTAAAATACCTAACACGGAACCGATTGCTCAACCATAATGGCTTTAATAGGTTAGAAAGAGATGAGAAAGTTGTTGCTAATAGACAATAAACCTTCTTCCTTTGATGAAAATCAAAATGCTCAGTTCTGTTGTATGAAGAACTAAAAATAAAAATACTTATCTTATGGAAGTAAAGGTCACCAAGGAAAATCTAAGGCTTGAAAATAAAACATATTATTCCTTTAGACCACGGAAAGAAAGCTAGACAGCTTTTATGGTACACGAATGTCTCAAATATTCAAGAGTTGACTTCGGTGTAAGATCTATATATATACTTATATGAATAGGTGAAAGGGTTATCATATTAGTACTACATAAATGGCTAGCCATTCATTTATGTAGATAATAGAAATAAACTTAACTTCTGGAGTAACTTACAATGAAACATCTTCAAATGCCAAATGGCATCCAAAGCGACCGCAAATCCGGCTGACATAGATTAATAACAAAAATCAAACACATAGAAAACCAAAAAGAAAATTATGGAATTGTTGTAGTATGAACAAACTCACTCCAAAAGCTATTAAATCAAATCATGACAGCAACAAAGTCGAAGAAACAAAGCAAAATACGTCACCGCCCACGTTTTACCCAAAATTAAAATTATGAACATGTGCTCCTCCAAAACCACTTGCAATAACTATATTTAAATGATGAAAAGTTTTAAACAAAAAGGCACATCCAAAATAACCCCAAATTTTGCATAAATGAAAAAGATAAAATATTGATATTTTTGTAAGCAAAATGGAGATAAACATTTGTGAGTCACCTAGGAGGGGGTACTCGAGCCAGGCCAGTCAGTAAGAACAGAGTTTAGGTAGCGACAAAAAGTTCTTCTGGGTGAGAGAAGCATTGTGATATACCGTATAGGTTTTAGAATATGCAACATTTGTTGTTTCAGTAATCATCCTGCATTTTAGAATTGTAAAACACAGATAGACAGTAAACCCTCCTCTTTTGTCCGGGCTTGGGACCGGCTGTGATGCAGTAGTGTAACTAAAATACAGGCAGAGTTAAAAACTTGATTTTTTCCAAGTAGTAGGTAGGTTAGCTTCACAGAGTTCAACGAAAATCGTGAAAATATGTAACAAGCCTTTGTAATTATAGATTTTTCACTGATTGGTCCTTGAAAATTTTCACAATGAGCATTTTGATTGTATATTGCACAACGAAAAACTATATCACAAGACTAAAAATTTAGCAAGCGTTTGAAGGTACACAAAACAATTATTATTTAGTGCTTATAAAATTGCAGAGAAATTGTTTCAGGCCCCAAGAAAATCATTGAAATAAACAATGTATGGTAAATCAAGGAATATGAACAAGAAAGTTGTGGAATTATAGGAAGGCTTTTTGAATGATTTCATCATATACTATGTTATATGTAGACTGGTCATCATCGTTATCCACCGTAGGTAGTCGGATTAATATTTTTATACGGCTTGAACTCTTTGCTCTCGATAAAGCAACATATAGCTGGCCATGAGAAAACACTGGCTCACGTAAATAAATACCAACATAATATAATGTTTGTCCTTGTGCTTTATTTATCGTCATTGCAAAACACAGGCACACCAGAAATTGTGTTCTTTTAAATGGGATAGGTAACTTCTCATCATCTGAAGATAACAACAGTATTATGGGAATAAATACATGTGTATTTTTGAAATCACCGCTCGCAATTTTAGCGCTTATAACATGGCTCTTAAAATCACAACATATCAATCGTGTACCATTGCATAGACCTTCACAAGGATTTAAGTTTCGTAACAACATATAGGGATAATTTTCCTTCAAAATTAATTTGTAAGGAGGTAAACCAGCAGGGTTTAATGAATGTAGAAAATTCTCAAACTGGCTTTGATCATTTGGTTCAAGAGTTTTATCCATTGCAGTAAATGTCTTGGCGTCTTTAGGAAATTGAGCTATAAGTCTATCATTTATTTCATCAACAAAGTCATTTTTTGTCGTCAAAATAACACGAGAAGTTAAAAAAGAAGAATCGTGAAAAGATGCATGCAAATCAGGATATAAAAGATCCAGCGATTCTTTTTCAGTAACATAAGGAAAAATAAAAGACCTCGGAATTTCTATTTTACCATCCATGTTTGTCTTTTCTTTTCCATTTGCAATCCGCATCAAATATTCACAGAAAGAGGGATCAATTTTCGCACGCATATTCTCTAATAATCGAAGTTTTTCAAGCTCATTCCATATTTCGGAGTTTAATATGCTTTTCCGAATGAAGTCTTCCTTTTTCCACTTCGAACCACAAGAAGAGTTTGTCTAAAATCTCCTCCAAACACAACTTTTCCACCAAAAAATACATTTGTGTCCATTATATCTTTCAAAAGAAAATCTAAAGCTTCAATCATATTTTTCTTGGCCATGGATACTTCATCCCACACAATTAATTTTGCATCGCGAATCAAAGACGCCAGTGAGCTTTGCTTGCTGATATTGCAAGAAAACTTTTTATCAATATTAATTGAAAATTTAAAACGTGAATGAACTGTTCGTCCTCCTGGAAGGATCGAAGCTGCAACTTCAGAAGTTGTTGTTGCTAATGCTACAAATCCTTTAAATCTCACAGTTGCTAATAAGGCACAATATAAGAATGCCTTACCACTTCTTCCAGGACCATCAATAAAAAATGCTCATAATTTGTTAGCAAATACTCTCTGAAGGATTACGCCGTATGCCATTTTCTGTTCTGTATTCAATTTTCTATGCAACAATAAATCTTCGTCGCTCACAATGATGTTTCTTTCGAAATATTCTTCCTTCGCTTCATTTGCCATTTTCGAAGATGTGATAGTTTCTGAAAAAAGGTTGAACTCATTAATATCACAGCCCATAGAATGTAATATATCATTGATGTGATTTAGGACAGCAAGGTGGACATCTTTTGCCGTTATATTGGCTAGGTTCTTAAAGTCTTCGGACATTGAATCTTCAAATTGTTTCCACAGTTCCCTTGGATTGTCAGGGCTACAATGTACTAATATTGTAGCAAATAAACATCTTAAACTATAAGGCATTTGATAACATGCAGCCTCTGACATACATTGAATCAAGTTGTTGTCACAGTGCAACAACCCTCTTCTTTCCGCAGATTCTCTAAATGTGTCACAACATATCCCGTTTACTCTCAGAAGATCTTCGTATGATTTTGGTGCGCTCATATTCATTAGTAATAATCTAAGGTAATATCTTTCTCCTTCTGTTGGATGGCATGTTACAATGCAGCCAATAACATGACCTCGTTGTCGTCCAGTCCACATTTTGTAGATAGATGACCATACGAAGTATTGTGGAAAATCTTTATACAACAACTTAAGTTCTTTAGCATCTTCGTTTGTTTCATTCATCAAAAATAATTTTGTGAACATCGTCTTCTTAATCATAGGGGTTTTCAGGATACTGTCTATTGTGTCAGTTTTTTTAAAGGAGACAAATTGTAGTCCATCAAGATGTAACTGGAGGTGATAAACACTTGGAGTCATTTCATTGATAGAAAATGCAAATAAACGCCACATAGCTTCCGGAGGTGACACCCATCTAGCAGATTGATACTCTTTTATCTCATCTATTTGTATATTTGTGTTATCTTCGTGTAAGCCAAATGAAATTTTATCATGTCTTTTACATATATATTTGTATATATATTTCAAAACTTTAATATCAGAGCAAACTTCCACATTTATATGATAATTATATTTACACAACAGATAAGGATTATAAGGAACAACCCATGAGTTATCAAGAAGTTATTTTCTAACTTTTACAGATTTACCAGTGTTTCGTCTTCTATAAATTGGATATGAGTTCTTTCCTTTTGTTGTCTCATCAGCGAAGCTCTTAGGGTACTTAAATTTGCACTCATTTCTTTTCATACATGAATTTGCAGGATTTAAATTACCACAAGGCACATGCATCATGTGTTTAATAACAAGCTTATGTAAGTAAGAGTTTGTATCAGGATCAGGCAGCTCAGCACAAACAAATTTGTTATAAGCCTCCGGCGTTAAAAATTTATAGTCATCAGTAAGTATAATAAGGAAATAAGCATGTGGAAGACCGCGTTTTTGAAATTCTATAGTGTACATATAAGCTGCAACGTTTCCAAATATGTTTCTTTTTAATATATCTGTCTTCATCTCTTCTACCTTTGCTCTAAACATTCGACTAATTAAATCAGGCCTATTTTGAGTTTCGTCTGTTAGGAGCAAATGTTACTTTATTTCGGGCCAAGAGGGATTGCATGTCATCGTCAGAAATATATCAGGCTTTTCAAAATACTGCACTACGTTGGCGCATATCTCTCGGACCACCCGTAAAACTTGTCGGAAGAAAGTTTTATTTTCCTATCTTAGAAGCTTCTCTTTCGCCAAGTCTTAAGATATCTACAATTCCTTGTAGTACATTAACCCGAAATAAATCTTGGTTAAATGAGGCAAAATCCAACCTCTGAGTTTCTACTTTTATGAATTCATCAACTGAATATTGTTGAAATAATCTACCAGAATGTAAAATGATATTTTCCTCATTGTCTCTCATCTAGAGTTTGTAACAGTAGTATTCACGACAAGAAATATTATTTCTTTTTCGTTTTCCCTTTTGCAAAACATCTTCTTCTATATCAAGTAGTCCACAAATTGAGCACATGTTAGCGACACTTGAAAGTTGTTCGGTCTCATAGTAAGCTCGCTTTCTCAATTTATTTCTAGGTTGCAGGATTTTTGGAATACCGCAATGCCAGCCGTTTTGACCATAAGGAAGTAAAAACGGATATTGCAAAGGATTATAGCAGCCATAGTAGTAATTTACTAACTGGCTTTTGTTACTGTGAGTATAAATTCAGATATGGGGTGCAAAACTATTATTGTTCGTTTCTTGTTCTACCAATAATGCTGCTACTTCTGACACAGTTGGAAAGTTGTATATTCGTCGATCTAAGCCAGAGCCACATCGCAATGCAATATAAAAGTTTGATAATTCTGGAATATGTATAAGAGATTTCAAGAAGATACAATAAGGATTTATCTTTAGTATACCCATTAGTTTCTCAACAATCGACTGTCGAAGTATATCTGAAGAAGCCATTCGATTCAATATTTTTGTGTTCTCATCATAAAAATACAACTGTAAATTTCGTGGTTGACGATTTGTTGGAATCAGATCATTTATGAAGTGATACATTTGACCTTGTACTTTAAATGTATAAATTCTTTGGTTTCTTTTTGCCAGTGCTTTGTCGTAGTTCACTCCAAGTGAAATAAACGCAAACATATTATTGTAAAATTTAAGGTAGGTACGAAAGTGTTCAGATTCTTCGGTATTGCCTAAATATAGATTCAAGAGTTCATTAGGAATTTCATGTGACATCAACTTAACTGAACCATTGTTACAATAAAATTCTGCTGTTTCATATTCAAATCTTTTTGCTCCACAATATTTACAGTTCGGTACAGTTTTTAAAATGGTTGCATCACTGGGTAGTTCTCTAATATTCCAGTTCAAACATATTATTTTTGATTTATAACCTATGTACATTAGTTGCAACAATATATCCTATTAGTGTTGAGAAGAGAGCAGTAGTAAATGTTGATAAAAGATTAAAGTGAGACAAACCTTTGTTTGCGACGATAGATGTCTCTACATGGTGTTGTTCATAGGGTGCACCAGAGCTGGAGCCTAATATACAAACAACTCTAATTAATATATTAAAAGAGATTACAATCAAACTGAAATAACATATTTCCACTCACTTACCATGTTCAAAAACGGAGAAGTGGTCAGTAATACTTTTTCCTTTGTCACAACCAGCTACTGGCCCAGCAACCGAAGATATACCGTCTAACATTCAAATCCAAATATGTTTGGAAAAAGCAAATTGTATTTAAATATAATCACAAAGGATAACACATATATACATGCATATATCTGTGTCTACTAACAATGTGTGTGCAAATGTATCTTTTTCTCGAACAAATCGTTTTTGCTTCTAACCTGTGGCAGTAACAGATGGTCGCTCAACTATCGTCAGAGTTTTTTTGTGTAGGTAATTCAAATCCAGCAGCTTGTTTGGTATATTCAAGCAGTGCGGTTTGACCCTTTTTTAGTTCAAGCTTTTTTGACCGGCGTTGCGTTAAAAGAAAGTCTCTTTTATCAACTGGTAACTGCTTGTACATATCACGTCTCCTACAATTAATTTTAGAGACTGTTTCTGCTGAGTATTGCTTCCTTTTTTGCGGGCAGTAAGGTGATGCCAAATGCTTTTTATCGGTCGACATCAGCAGTTCGAGCAATCTATAAAAGTTTAACAGACAAAGAGATTTACAGTACAATTGAAAGTATAGACACTACAAATGCCCAAACACTTCTATAATTACAATATTTATACATCACTAAAAGTATCACAATGTACACCATAAATGAATCGTGAAAAAAAGATAACAGATAGATTGAACAGAACACAAATTCATTGACCTATTAACAATTACGTCACCGCTTTACATTCGTAAAGTTCCATAATTCACGCAAAGTAACATATAAGAAATCAAGCAGCAAAACTAATAGTGTTAACTTATTTCAGGCACAACTTTTACTATAATAGAAGCCTGAACATTTGAGTTTTCCTTGTAGCCATTCAAAAGTTGGGACATGAAAACTATTGGAACAAAAAAGGAAGGAAAACTCTTTCCGATAGTGAAAAAAGAGTGAATGTAATCAAAGTTTAACAGAAACTCATTGGTCTAGTCACTTTGCAGGCGTGGCTGGAGGTCATCGCAGATGTAGAGGAGGAGTCGTACCTGCGAGTGCGCAGAAGCAGAAATCGTTTCGCAGGTGCGAGGGGCCAGCTGGTTAGTTGTGGTCGCAGAAGCGAAACAGTTACTGCAGATGCGACTATTTGTCCGCAAATAAATCGAGGTTTTGATTCTTTCTTCATATTTTGAGATGTGGGACTTGGATTGAGGGGATTGTTGGAGCAATTTTTATCACAAGGATAGGGGTAAGTGTTCTCTACTCGGTTTTGGTTATATTTCATGAATCTACCTTTGTTTTTGGTAATTGGATTGTGAATTTTAAAGAGGAAATTGGGGGTTTTGGCCTAAAGTTTTATAATATGAATTTTTGAGTTTTGAACATCGAATTGGAGTCGGATTTGAATGAAACTAGTATGGTTGGACTCGTAATTGAATGGGTTGTTGGATTTTATAAATTTTATCGGGTTGCGAGGTGCGGGTCCGGGTTAGGCTTTTGGCCGATTTTGGGCTTTTGGTTCAAGATTTGATCTTTTTCGATCGGGATTGGTTCATTAGCATTGTTTGACGTATTTGAGTTATTTTTGGTTAGTTTCGAGTCGTTCGGAGGTCGGAACGCGCAGGATGATATTTTGGAGCATCGCTTGGCTTGCTCGGTGTTGGAATTGGCTTGTTCGAGATAAGTAACTCTTCTAATCATGGAGCTGAGAGTATGAAACCCCGAAATTGGCCAAAGCTTTACTCTCACAAAGCTCCATAATTTAGAAATAGAAGGACATATAACAAACAAGGTAAAAATCAAATAAAATACTTGTAATTGCAAATGCTAGCAGAAGAAATCTAGTAGTTTGTGCCTCTGCCTTTGCTTTCTTTTGCCATTAGAATAGCGTTTGTTGTGGTTAAAGAAAGCTACAGTTTGTTGTTCTTTAGCTCATTCCATGTGCTCTAGTGAGCTTACATGGGTTTTCAGCTATAGTGAATGCCAAATTATCGCTAAGTGGTTATCAACGTATATGCATTTATAACCTCACATCACACTTGGGCGAGAAAATTCTGTTAGAAATTTGATAGCAGTAAAGAAAAATAAAAAAAACATAGAAAAAGCCTTGAGGTGTGATGTTATTACATTTTTAAGAAAAAGACAGCACAAATTATTTATGTGAGATGCAATCAAATATCCATCTTATTTGAAGTGAAATTTATCAATTATAAATATCTGATTTGAAATTAAAAAAAATTCATATACAGAGAATATTAACACTTAATATATGTTGAAAATAAAAGAGATTATCTATTCAAGTATTTTATAATATGAAACTCATCATTCAAGCACTTTGTGATAAGAAATTGATAGACATGTATTTAAAAGTTACTTTTCAGATTCTACTATTAGTGCAAGACTTCCTTAAAGATGGTGTCGTTGCAAATAAGATATCACAAACTGGACAACAAGTCCATTATGGTGCAACAAACCCCAACAACAGTAAGATCAAAATGAAGACATAAACAACTCAATGAATAGTTAGGAAGTTAACCATATCTAAAAGTCCTGCACAAGTTTCACACTTGACCAATTGCGTTTTCCTTTCTTCAGTTAAAAAGTCCAACAACACCCTAAATCACTTAGATAGTTTAACCAGAGAAGGCAACTTAGAGTACAAAGTAATACCTTAATATATACTGAAATCTCTCCGGCCTGCTCTAACCACTAACCTTCATGTCAAAAAGATGCGCTTAGAAGCAGAAGTAAAAGTAAATCTCTTCTGTTACTGTAGGAGCGAAAAATCATCAAAATCCGACGATTAAACACAAACCAAGAAGTACAACCAAATATTTCAAGAAATAATAACCAACCTATTTAAACAAATAGCTGAAAACTTCAGGAAAGCCAAAACTTTAACGCAGAACTACACTAAAACCAATAAAAACCCAACTAATTGGAAAATTGCAGCAACCTCTATTTTGAGCCCTAAATCCTTCCTTGAGATTTTAATCGAAACTTGTGCAGTTTGTGCCCCCTCAAAAAGCATCCAATTGAATAGAATAAAACTTTTGTTGTTACTCTAATTGTTACTGTTGTCTTTGCGTTTAATACCGTATTTCACTTGGGATTAATATTTTACTTTTTTATTAGAATATTAAATCCTAGTATCCTATGAAACATGTAAGCCATCGTAGAAGAAGTAGAAAGAAGAATAATTACCACAGTAATTCACCGAAGTGCAAGAAGAAGAGCAAGGGAAAAACAGGCCACCTGGGGAGAAAAGTATTCAGTATAACTTGTGATAAACAAGTGCGGGGGCGATCAATTAATCGATGGTATCGAAAGTAGTAGGAAAATCAGTGAAATTGAGATAAGAACAAATCTCAAGATGAAACAGAGACAGACAGAAAGAACAAAGCGAAACGGAGCAGATTATTTGCTGTGAGATACAAAGAAAGCTGAACATGAAACAAACAAAGAAAGAGGATAAACAGAGAGAGGGATTAATCGCTGGCACAAGGAGGGATTATATCGCACCACCTGTCAGGGTTATTCTATACGTGTTAGCTATTAAGTAAAACTTACGAAAAGACTAAAGTAGCCCTTGGAAGCAGGCATGACGACCCTGACATGCTTCCAAGCAGCTTCTATATATGTAGAATAGAATATTGGGTCTCCGACAATTGTCATCAAACTCGGTAATTACTTTAATTGAAATTTTGGTTCATTTTTCTTTTCAAAAATTTGAATAGAAAAATTACTTTTGGAATCTTATCTTTCCTTCCGAACCTATTTTAACTAATATTTTTGTACTATGTATTGACAACGTACATAAAAAAAAATGATACTATTAGTACATCTTTAATTATAACTTAACACTATTACACTTTATGTACATGATTATCTTTAGTTACCTCTTAATGCATTCCATTTTACACTTTTTCCTCCTTTATCCATACTTTTCTACAATATTCTTCCTTTTCTGTTTGAGAACTAAACAGGTATACTTTTGACCATAAATACCCTACTTATAAAAATCCTTAAATATATATAATTCTATATTTGTTAACAATAGTATTTGTTAAGAAGAAAAAACTAATTTGATTTGAAGTGACATTTTAAAAATGTTATGTCTTTTTAATAAGTATTTAATTAAATATTTTTTTCTGAAAGTTTATTCAACCGATATATGATGTGTGAAAGTTTTTTGTGTGGAAAAGTAAATGTTATTTGTAGAAACCCCAAAAACCAAAACGTTAAATTACCAAAATATTCTTTTAAATAACTTAAATACCATACTTTTAATTATATAAATATTATCTAATAATTAATGTTTATTAAATAGATCGGGACGAGAAGAAAACTATGTGATGTGTCTATTCCTAAAAGTTGTGTTCATTCAAAATCGTAACTAACTTCTTCTTCTAACACAAATGCCACAAGTATAAATGCATAATAATATGTATAATCCTTGATATACAAATGCCCTGCAATCCGTTCTTATATCTCCAAAGTTAAACGTGCATATTAACTCTATGTTAACGGTAGTGATCACTTTCTCAACCTTTTTATCTTTAAAGTTCATGAATAAAAACATAGATAAAATGTTACTGCCATTAGCATTTATACAATTATTGTTACCTTTCTAAGATTTATATTAGCTTTGTTAAGTTTTTAATAATTATACTATTTGGATTTGTGTACCCGAAAAATGGATATAGTTGAATTTATATGCAGTTCCAAAGATATGTGGTACAACTTAATACAGAATGCTAGGATAAATAAAAGGATGAATATAGGTTGGCGAAAACGTAATCCAGGCGAATCAATTATGAACAGTGAATTTAGGATTTAACAAAATAGAAATCATCTAAGAAACTAGAAAGATCACTCTTGCTTATAGAGGAAATAATACAGTTTTTCTAGTCTCAGTCTCCAAAATAGATCCCCTACAAGAATGATAAACAAGCTCTTTTATAGTGAAGGGGTTTGGCTCCAAGTATAATAAAATAAACATTCAGTGGGAGACCTTAATTACTTAAGGATACTAGCTAATTAATTATTAATATTAATTAACAATGCAACTAATATATTTTTACTTACTTTAGTTATCAATTTAAAATAATTAAATAATCACTAATATTTTTCACGTATACCATTAATAAATGTCTACTTAGTGTATAATTAACAATGTATAGGCTAGTGAATTACTAACATTACTTAAGGATATATCCTTAGTGCGTACACTTCTACTTAGTGTAATTATCAATATCTATAAGCTAATTGTAACTATTACACTTCTATACTTAATGTAATTATCAATAAATTGCCTAATAAATTATTAATATTAATTAAGTATATTGCTAATATAGTTTTACTTACTTTAGTTGTCAATTTAAGATAATTAAACAATCACCAATATTTATCACGTATACCATTAATAAACTTCTATCTAGTGTGTAATTATCAATGTACATGCTAGTGCATCACTAACATTACTTAAGGATATATTCTTAGTACACTTATACTTAGTATAATTATCAATCTATAAGCTAGTTATAACTATTACACTTTCTGCTTAGTGTATATATATATATATATATATATATATATATATATATATATAGGCTAA